TTTATAGGAAACTCGATTGCGACTGCATCCCTGTCGCCTTGAAGCTCGTTAAAGAGGACATCTCGCCTCTCAATCACCTGATGGGACACCGGATCATACAGTCGATAGCCTTTAGCCGCTACCGAATACCCAATCATGCGATATTCTTTGCCTTTTGGTTGAAGCTTACTCTTCCTTGGACCCTTGTCCAAGGCAACTGCAATGGAGCCAAAAACTTTTAGATGACCAACAAAAGGTTTCTTACCAGTCCACGCTTCCATAGGCGTCATACTGGTCAGCGCACTTGTTGGTGATCGATTCCGTACATACACAGCTGCGTTGACTGCCTCAGCCCACAAGGATTCGCCTAATCCTGACTGGACCAGCATACACCTTGACATCTCTACCAGGGTGCGGTTTGCTCTCTCAGCAACGCCGTTTTGTTGTGGAGTGTAAGCAACTGTCAGCTGCCTCTCGATCCCATGGTTCTTCAAAAATTCATCAAACGATTTGTTGACAAATTCACCGCCATTGTCGCTCCGGATACATTTAAGGTTTTTTCCCGTTTGCCGTTCAACCAGTGTTTTAAACTCGACAAACTTATTGAAGACTTCATCCTTCCGCCGTAGAAAGTACACAAATATACGTCTTGATTTATCATCGATGAAGCTTAGAAAGTACTTCGATCCAGCAAGTGATTGTGTGCCAAATGGTCCGCACACATCTGCATGAATTAATTCCAAAATGTCTTGCGCTCTGTTGGTGGATGCAACAGGAAATGGCTGCGCATGAATCTTGCTGAGCATGCAAGTTTTACAACTCATACTTGCTGGGAAAACCATATTTTCAATGCCACGCACCATTCCTTTGGTTTGTAACTCTTTCATACTGCTGATATTCAAATGGCCATACCTTTCATGCCACAAAGCACCATCAGCCTTAATCGCAGCAAAACAGCTGTTTTGTGTTCCTTGAAGCATATATAAGTTTCCAACCTTGTTTGCCTTTATAATACAGTCACCGTCCTGGACTACTTTCGCATATTCTTGCCCAAAAGTGACAAAACATTTATGTTTTACTGCGCTGCTCACGGAGAAAAAATTTCCATTCATTTTGGGAACATAGAGAACATCTTTTAACGACAGCGTACATATATCTGTCTTCAGCTGAACCTCTCCTTTCCCTTCAGCTTTTAGAAAACCGGAGTCAGCCAGGCCAATCAGTTCTGTGTGTTTTTCTAACTTTGTGAATAACTGCTTATCACAACACATATGGCTTGTCGCACCACTATCCAAACACCACATACTATTTTTCAAATTATCTGCGTCCATCGCATTTAATAGGCTGCACTGCTTGTTCTCTCCTCTTGCTGATTTTCCTTCGTTTGAGCTCTCTTTCTTACACTGAGCCTTCATATGCCCGTGCTCACCACACTTGAAACATATAATTGTTTTGTTTCTCTTCTTTTGCGCTCTCTGAACGGCCGGCTTCTGCGTCGCAGCAAATGCTTTTGCGCATTCCTTTTGTTCTTCTGAATTTCCCTTTCTCTCGCCTTCTTCTTTCAGTTTTATACATAGAACGTCGAATGATGGGAGACTGTCGCGCGTCTCTATGGCGACTACAAAATTTTCATAATGTTCTGGAAGGCTCGACAACAAAACAATTGTGCGAAGTTCATCATTTAGGTCGATTCCTACCGAACTAAGGCCATCGAGAATATCAATAAATTCGTTTATGTAGCTTGAAATGCTTTGCCTCTGGTCCATGCGCTTGCTTAGCAATTTCTTGTACAGTTGAACCTTTCGTACTGGTCCACTTGGTTGATGGACATCTTTTAATTTTTTCCATGCCTCAGCCGACTTTTTGCAGTTCTTGATGTATCCCAATTGTGAAGTTTTCACACATAGCGTGATCATTGCCAGTGCCTTCTCATCCTTGGCCCTTGCACCTTCAGGGACATCCGATGCTGTGACATCACCAGATGCTTCACCAGATGCCACACTCCACAACTCCGAGTGCACCAACACAGACCGCATTTGAATGGACCATGAGTCATAGTTTCCCTCCTCCAATTTGTCTATTTGATAAATTCCGCTCATAGCTGATTATCGTTTTCTTTCTGAGTCACACCGATGTTTTTAGTTCCTAACTACAACAATCTCTTTAATTTTCCGATCTAAATATCCGATCCTGGGCCCATAACCTGTTGAACAGAGTTTGACCAATGCCGTGGAAATTATATTTTAACCGAAAAAACGTAGCCGTTGCGTTCGTTCATTTGCAATGTTTATTTGTGACTGACTGAGAAGTTCTGCTCGCAGGCAGATGGAAAACCAAAAAGGAAAACAAAAAATAAAGAGAAGATGAGAAGACGTTGCTTCGACACGTCTCTCACCCATACATGTAAATATACATATGTGTGTCAATACATGCGTGCATTGATAGTAACGGTAATTTTCAACATATCATTGGTTTTTTTTTGTTTTTGAAAGCATAGAAAAACCTTCATAACATTACTCGACAAAATCGAACTTTTTTTCCTCAAGGTTCCAAACCAACTTTTTCTGATAGATATGGGACTTTAAAATTTTTAAAGAATTTTTTTGTATAGCTTTTTCCGAGGTAGCGTATTTTTTCACATAACTCTAGTATCTTACTCTGGTTGTAAATAAGTTTGAAAAGATAATTAAAACAGCTAGAAATTAAGCTCAAACACTTTGTGATTTCAGCTTACCGTCTGGGAAATAAAGAGCATTTAAATGCAAAAAGTATTATTTTTGTGCGGTATTTTTTATGTGCAAAGGTGTATAGGTGCATTAATAAGGCGTTGTTTAAGGTATTGCTCATTCAAATCTATGAAGGAACTGTGGAGCTAAAATTAGTTATCCAAACCTAAAAATGAAAAAAAAATTAACAAAAAATACCTTTTGGAAGGTTGCGGGCCCAACTGCCCATTGGGAAGATTTATATATATATATTTACATAATTATATTCTCACAAGTACAGGTCCACACAAATTAGATCTTGTCGCGTCTACCTAATCATATTTCATTAAAACCAAATTAGAAATACCTGAGATACGGGCTTTCATTCCTTAACCCATACAAAAACTAATAATTTTTAGTCTTTTCAGTCGATTCTAAGGATATACAAATTTTTATACCCGTACTCAAAAAAGAGTTAAGGGGTATATTAGATTTGTGGTAAAAGTGGATGTGTGTAACGCAGAGAAGGAAACGTTTCCGACCCCATAAAGTATATATTTTCTTGATCAGCATCAATAACCGAGTCAATATAGCCATGTCTGTCTGTTCGTCTTTCTGTCTGTCTGTCTCAGAGAATCTGGCTAGATCTCAGAGACTATAAGAGGGCTATAGGGCAACCAAATTTGGTTTGCAGGCTCATGTGAAATCACACTGCTACAAGTGTATTTCAAAATTTCGCCCGCCCCCTTCCGACACCACAAAGACCGAAAATCTGTGGCAGGCACAATTTTAAAGATACGATAAAACTAAAAACGCAGTATCGTAGAGAATGCCTATATCTATCAGATTGCCGAATCTGAATCAGATCGGATCATATGAAGAACTTCTTTTTAAGTTGCTTTCCCCGCCTCCCAGCCAGACCAATGCTAATCATTCTCTTTCTCGCTCGCACATTCTGCTACGTTCAGTGCGCGAGCAACCCCTAGCGGAGCAGATGTAGAGTCTAAATGGAACATACACAAACTACATGTTAGATGTAGAATATACATAGTAGATGTAGATGTAGATAGCAGATGTAGCAAATAAATGTAAGATGTAAATGTCTCCAGAAGCGACTCGCACGTTCCTTCTCGTTTATTCTAAAATTCTAAAAAATCATATCATAAAATCAATCATATCAAATCATATCATATACGTCCGTCTCGTTCCTTCTCGTTTTATTTGGTGTTATGTTGCTAAACTTTTTTAAACATAAGTGATACATTTGGTTTGCTAATGCTTGTTAACATTTTTTTAAATAATTTAAGTTTTCTGGCTGTCTTCCTTTTTATTCGAACCAGATTCTTTTATGAGATTCCACACATAGTCGCCCATAATGTTCTCATTCCAAACACCTCTATAACGTTGTTCCATAGATTTGAATTTTTGATGAAATGTGTTCATCACTAACGTCGCCTAGGTTTGTCGGAAAAAAGCAGAAAAGGGACTTTTAGTGAAATATTTGCCATGATTTTTTAAATTTTTTAATTAGCTCTTGGACGATATATTTTATAAATTTTGATATGATCTTATTCAGATTCGGCAGTCTGGTAGATATGGTCATTCTCTACGATAATGCGTTTTTAGTTTTATCGTATCTTTAAAATTTTGCCTGCCACAGATTTTCGTTCTTTTTGTGGGCGGAAGGGGGCGGGCGAAATTTTGAAATACACTTGTAGCAGTGTGATATCACATCAGTTTGGAAACCAAATTTGGTTGCCCTAGCTCTTATAGTCTCTGAGTACCAGGCACTCAACAAGACGGACGGACGGACAGACGTACATGGCTATATCGACACGGCTATTGATGCTGATCAAGAATATATATACTCTATAGTGTCGAAAACGTTTCCATCTCTGCGTTGCACACGTCAACTTTTACCACAATAACAATATACCCCTTAACTCTTTTTTAAGTACGGGTATAAAAATATCATCGAACCATTTCTAAGCCCCAAATCTTTAAGAAAAAGTTGGTTTTGTTCCTTGAGGAAAAATCGTGTCGTGTAGTGTAATCGCTGAGGCTATGTTACTTTCGTAATTAAAGCTTTCGCGAAATTTCAACATTTAATATTAGATTTAATTGGTCGATGATAACGAGTTGCATTTTTCATCTATTCTGAATGGGAACTACCACTGTCGCCTTCTCACACCATGTGGTTAATGCTCTTATTCTCTCGACATCGATGCAACGTCAGTTTTGTTTTTGTTGTGCAGTTGTGGGCAGATCAATGTTTTGGTTGTTGCTATTCGGCATAGTGTTGACATTTACCTATGCTGATTTTCCTTCAGAAATAGAAGACACATCGAATTGCTTAGACGTTTGTGGTTAATCAATCGGATTAAACGGCTAAAAATTGGGTATTTTTTTGTTTGATTATTTTTTTTATTTAGCTGTCAATAGTTTATGAAACTCGGAAAATATATACGGTTTCATTTTTACTAAGAAATAACCCATAACTCAGTTTGGTTCAAATTGATTAATTAGTTAATTCCTAAAGAGCTGCATACAATGGTGAGTTTTATCATATTTCATATAATATGACAGCTTTGTGGCCATATAAAATAGACATAAAAAAAATTAGCACACTTTAGACCTACATACATATGTATGTATATAAATCATTTTATTGCATTATATTTGGCTAATTACAAGCAACATCATTGTGACACGAGTTCCTATTTTGAGCAGTGAAAATATATTACAATTTGCGGATCACACATCACACCTGCAATGGGAGCATAATGAGTTTATATTTTTGTACGTTTTACAGGCTGATGGAGAGTATGACAAAGAACAATTAAGAAGTACGTTAACCTCTTTTGATCCTTTACTTATTGACTAATAACTGTATTTCTTTGTAGTTCTTCGAAATGCTTTTAAGGCTTTTGATCACGACGGTGCAGGGTCGATCGACCATGCAGATGTATCTAGCATTCTTGAAATTCTAGGTCAGAAGCTGGAGCCGCCAGCAGTTAAGGCACTCATTAAAGAAGTAGACAAGGGAACATCTGGTAAATTGGATTTCGGACAATTTTGCAAGCTGGCGGCTCGTTTCATTGAAGTAGAGGAGGATTTAGGTGCACTGCAGAATGAATTAAAAGAAGCATTTCGTGTTTACGATAAGGAAGGAAAAGGTTATCTAACGGTTGCCACACTGCGTGGTATTCTGCACGAATTAGATGATAAGATATCCAATCAAGACTTGGATTTGATAATAGAAGAAATCGATGCTGATGGCTCAGGCACGGTTGATTTTGATGGTAAGAGGAATAATTATTTACTGAAATTAAATAATTTTGAATTAATTAAAGCACAAATGTTTCAGAATTTATGCAAGTTATGACAGGTAATATTTGATTCATTATTGGTAACTTATTTTGATATATCCTTGTAGGCCATCTTTTGAATATGTTTTTACGAAATTTTCCATGAAATCCATTAAGTTTTTACATTACCTTTAAAGCATTAACCTACATATGTATGTAGATATCATTTTACAGTCGGATGAATATGTAAATCTGTTAAGTTGGAAAAAAAATAGACAAGTGTATTATTAAACCAAAAATAGATTTTCATGCCGTCAGATTGAAAAGTATTTCCATCAATCAGTCTATTAAAGTACATGTATATTTGTAGTATACTACTCTCGGATACTATTTTAACTGAAGCATCCGTCCGTCCGTTCCTATCCGTATGTCCGTTTTTGTATCCCAAATTACAAATTTATTTGAATTGAATTTATTATTTTTTGTAATAATATGTAGTTTTCATTAAAGATTCACTAAGAAAGTGTGAAATTATTCTGACGGATCAAATAGGTTGGCATGGTTTACCAAATCTTCTCTAGTTGAGATTGCCCTTAAAGACATTAAAGAATTATATCTTTTAATGGAAATATCTTTATAAACTTCTTTACCTTGTAGGTTAAACATCAATAAGGCTCTAACATAATGGATGGCGGCAGGTGGACATTACGGAATATAACATGTAAATACATACATGTTCAAAAAACTTCCTTGTATCTTCCTGTACAGGACATCGTGTTTGTAATGCCAAAACAGAATGTAAGAAAGATATATAAATTCAAATAAACTTTGAAGCTATTACTTTATATGACTTTTAAAATTTATTATTATACAGGCCACGTGCAAGTATGAATGCACATGCGAATTGTACTTATTGTTAAAAACAGTATTTTAACAAATGAAAGGTGGTGTTTTGACCCTTTAAAATCGAAATAAAAGTCAAAACTGTCAGGTCTGTCTATCCGACTGTATAAGCACCTGGATGTAGGAGATAACAGCTAAATTAACTAATTTTAAGCTAAATTTGTTTTCTGGTCGTACAATTGTGGCCCTGGGTTTTCTGTAGTTGTTAGATTTAATGCTTTATTCGTATTATTATTATACATTTGCTCGGGTTACAATGGGTGTCTGTTTAAATCGAAGTTATGATATATGTAACATTGAATGCTGCATTTTTGATTTTGCGTATTTGCGTGAGAGACTTTGGCACCAAACTAAATGGCGTCGATCGTTTAACTCTGGTTCTCTCCTCTATTCTTTTGACGGCCTCTTCTGGTCTCTCTTTCTGTTATGGGCTATATTAGCTTAACAGACTCTTCTGCTCTCTGTCTCTCACCAAATCACACAATCGGCCTCCTGACGAACTCCGAACTCCTTCATAAATTCCTCAACTGTAGAGCTCTTAAAAAGGCCTTCTCCTACTTTCTCTACATCATACCGGCCATGCTTGCGAACCTTGACCACCTTATAGGACCCCAGAAACTTTCCCTTCAAATTCAAAGCTACACCATATTGGGTTCGCCTGATCGCAACTAAGTCTTTGATCCAATACTCCTTTTCATCCTTACTCTTTTTATCAAAGAATCGTTTATTCTCTTCTGCAATGACTGAATATTGTAACTAGTATCTTTCCTTAAACGCTCACGCTCTTCATCTAGCTCATCTATGAGAGACTGCTGCACCACTGCTGCGAGAAATTGGCCGAGATAGGTTTGAACAGAAACGGAAGGAAAGCTGAGTTGCAAGTCATCCGCTGATGACACCCTCACACCAAATTCATCTATCAACTACGCTCTGATGGAGTTGGTAATCCCGATCGATATGGAGGACGAAGGCTTAATCGAATACTTTGTTAACGGGATTCCAGATTATAATGCAAATAAGGCTTTACTGCATCAGACTAAGAGCATGAGGTAGTTAAAAGTGCAAATCGAGGCATACCAGAAGATGGCAGGGTCAGTGAGACCGCAATGGAAGTTTGAATCACACTTCAACAGAGGAGAAAAAGAGTTAGTGAAAGGTGCTGAAAAGTTTCAAAAGTGCTTTAATTGCTTTAATGAATAAACCAAGCCCTGTACCTGAGAACGATAAGCAGAACACACACTTCTGGTTGATAACGTAGCTGATATTCAACTTTTTTATTTATATTATTTGTTTAGTTATAGCACGCTTGACAGCCGTTGAAAGGACTACTTCATAAAACAATAATAACGTTTAACAGCCTGGGAAAGGCCAACTTGATTAAAAAATACCGTTCGGGCTAGAGGATATTTAAGCGTCTATTTAAAAAGATTAAATGTAAAAGTCTCGATTTTTATAATAGCAACTAAACCTATGTAATCGCCAGCGTGTTGGCAGTGCTGTTGCGCTCTCCCTGATAAAGGGCGCTCTACACCTGCCGCTTCGGCTGCAGCTTTAATCGGACGTCGTGGAAGGTAAGAGCTAATGTAAGCAGCGAAAATTTTTGATGAACCATAACCAAAGCGAAGCTGCAGTGGTTCAGTAGTGTATTTCAACATAGTAATATCTGAGTGAATCTGTGAAAGCATATACATAATAAGACACGTGCAAAAGTGATCATAGTTCTGGTGACCGGAATGGATCCGTTGTGTTTGAAAGAGGATAAAAGGTAGTTAAATGTTCCATAAGTGAAACCATTCTAACCATCTCAATGCGCTGGACAGTTTTTCTATTAAAGTACGAGTGAGTAAACGAGCTTCCTTAAAAGAAGGTCTCGTCTGGTTCGTAACCAGTTGGCTGGAAGTCCAACTAGTTTTCTCCATAGTGATTGCTACCCGACTCACCGAAAACCGTTCTGGTAGCGTTGGGAGAGACCTCGGATCTCTCCAGGAACACCAGGAACCTTACAGGAACACCTTATCATCGTCTAAAAAATAAACCAACGAAAACGAACCGAGAAAAACTACTAAAGTGAAGAGACAGGCTAGCTGAATAAATTCTTTTATGAATATATACTTCATATATAAAGTAGGCGGGTAGATTGAGTGAATCTAATACAACAGTGTACATGTGAACTCGAAGAAATCCATAATCCACACTCGTTACCCTACTCTCTTATGCATTAAGCGTGCAGCCAAAGCTTTCGGCTGTAAGTTCTTCATGACAATCATAGTAGTTCTCAAACTGTAAAAAAAGACAATTGTTCTTTGCAGACACCAATTATATTTGGAGAGCCATGAGATAATGTAAAGCCATGGATCTCGATTTTTAAGCTTCTATTTCTATATTTTGGTGTAAATTACATGAAATTACATGATTTGTAACAATTCTTTCAACCTTTCACTCTTACGATATCAATATGTTGATTTTTTTTTATTTTCTTTTTTTTTCTTATTTGTAGGTCTTACTCAGTGCCTCGATATTAGACAAATATAAGTTTCTCTTAACCCACTCTTTTGTTACCCTGTATATACATTTTTTTTGGCAACAAAACTTATACTTTTTGGAGAAGGACATGAAGTCAAACCTCGATAATATTGAATTATTAAATGAATATTAATAGATATTAATAAAATATTAAATCTGTTACGTTTGTCCTAAGTAGAGCGTTATGAAGTCTGAATTACCGAGTTACACTTGCTAAGGGTATGCCGTCAGTTAGAAGGTATACAAAAGGTAAGGTGGGTAGAGAAGGGGTCAAGGTCATCTGATTTCCCCGACATTAACGGGATATAGCCATACTATTTGTCGGTAGTCCCATAATCCATTAATTGACATTTCCAAGCTTCTATTGTTATAGTTTGAGAGTTCCTTCTGAACGTTGAATCACGTGTACCTAAAACATCTGTGCAAATGTGTTTGTATGGCACATAGAGGAGTAGGAAAGATACCACGCTTTGCCACGCTTCCCTCAGCCATTGCTACCTTTTTTATACCCGTACTCAAAAAAGAATTAAGGGGTATATTAGATTTGTGGTAAAAGTGGATGTGTGTAACGCAGAGAAGGAAACGTTTCCGACCCCATAAAGTATATATATTCTTGATCAGCATCAATAGCCGAGTCGATATAGCCATGTCTGTCTGTCTGTCCGTCTGTCTGTCTGTCTGTCTGTCTGTCTCGATGAGCGCCTAGATCTCAGAGACTATAAGAGCTAGGGTAACCAAATTTGGTTTCCAGACTCATGTGATATCACACTGTTACAAGTGTATTTCAAAATTTCGCCCCGCCCCCTTCCGACCCCACAAAGAACGAAGATCTGTGGCAGGCACATTTTTAAAGATACGATAAAACTAAAAACGCAGTATCGTAGAGAATGCCCATATCTACCAGACTGCTGAATCTGAATCAGATCGGATCATAATTATAGCCAGAATGAAGAAATTGATTTTTAGTTGTTTCCCCTCCCCTTCCTGACCAGACAACGACCACTCATTCTCATTCTCCTTCTCGCTCGCACACTCTGCCGCGCTCAGTGCGCGAGCAACCCCTAGCGGAGAAGATGTAGAATCTAAATGGTACATGTATAATATACATGTTAGATGTAAAATATACATTGTAGATGTAGATGTAGATAACAGATGTAGCAAAAACGAGAAGGAACGTGTGAGTCGCTTCTGGGGACGCGACTCTACTTATACCCGTACTCAGTCTGTATATCATTTTGGCTAAGTTTTTTAGATTAAAAAAAAAGGGGGCCCGCGCCCCCGTACCAGTCTGTATATACATTTTTGAGCTAATGATTTTTTAGAATTAAAAAAAAAAATTTACATTTTTTTGCTACATCTGTTATCTACATCTACACTCAATGTATATTCCACATCTAACATGTAGATTGTACATGTACCATTTATATTCTACATCTCCTCCGCTAGGGGTTGCTCGCGCACTGAACGCGGCAGAGTGTGCGGGCGAGAAAGAGAATCAGTAGCGTCAGCATCGTTGGAGAAGGAGAGAGAACCAACAGAAAATTCATTTCTTCATTCTGGCTATAATTATGATCCGATTTGATTCAGATTCGGCAATCTGGTAGATATGGTTATTTTCTACGATACTGCGTTTTTAGTTTTATCGTATCTTTAAAATTGTGCCTGCCACAGATTTTCGTCCTTTATGGGGGCGGAAGGGGGCGGGGCGAAATTTTGAAATATACTTGTAGCAGTGTGATATTACATGAGTCTGGAAACAAAATTTGGTTGCTCTAGCTCTTATAGTCTCTGAGATCTAGGCGCTCATCAAGACGGACAGACGGACAGACGGACAGACGGACGGACGGACAGACAGACATGGCTATATCGACTCGGCTATTGATAAAAAAAAAAAAAATTTTAGGGGGGGGGAAACGTTTCCTTCTCTGCGTTACACACATCCACTTTTACCACAAATCTAATATACCCCTTAACTCTTTTTTGAGTACGGGTATAAAAAATTTTACATTTTACATTTTTTTGCTACATCTGTTATCTACATCTACATCTACAATGTATATTCCACATCTAACATGTAGATTGTACATGTACCATTTATATTCTACATCTCCTCCGCTATGGGTTGCTCGCGCACTGAACGCGGCAGAGTGTGCGAGCGAGAAAGAGAATCAGTAGCGTCAGCAACGCTGGAGAAGGAGAGAGAACCAACAGAAAATTCATTTCTTTATTCTGGCTATAATTATGATCCGATTTGATTCAGATTCGGCAATCTGGTAGATATGGTTATTTTCTACGATACTGCGTTTTTAGTTTTATCGTATCTTTAAAATTGTGCCTGCCACAGATTTTCGTCCTTTATGGGGGCGGAAGGGGGCGGGGCGAAATTTTGAAATATACTTGTAGCAGTGTGATATTACAT